AAGAAGTGGAGTTGCGACTGTCAATAATAAGAATATGTTAAATTGTGGGGAGTGACAGATATAAAGTCATATAAGTGGCGCTCATCGAAAGATGATAAATGCATTCGATATGTTATTCGGAAAACCAGAAGAAAATAGACTATTTGGGACATTAAAGCTTTGATCGGTTGATAATATTAAAAATAAACTGGATTTAGCTGACTTGCGGGCTTTTGTGAACTCTGTAATGGACCTCAGAAGGTAAATAAAATACATGGACCAGCTAAAAGACTATTAGCTCGTAAAACGGGAATTAGTCAATGGAGTAATAATATTTTTATATTAATGATCATAATGAGCATGTTATAAAACCTGAAACTCGTACAATCCTAAATCGCAGAAAGAAAACGGAATCTACAAATCGGTCCTGACAATATGTACTCGGCATTTTCAACAAGCAAACAATAGAATATTTTTTTGTTTAACATTTTTATTGAAAATAATAATGGCATATTAAGATTTCATATCCTGTATATTGCCTGATGTTTATCATATCGTGATTCACCAGAATTAAGGCACAGAAACGCTAACCAACTTGTACACTCGTCGTCAGCTGTTATTACCAGGGCTGTTATTGCGACATGGAATACTAACTTGCAGCGCCGCTGTGGGCAGAACCAGAACTGTCTAAGCATGCAAGCCATCGTGTGTTTCTTCTCCTAGAAAATAACAGGAATAAAAAAGGGTAAAAAAGGGGAAGTTTCGTCAGTCACGAGCCTTTAACTAAAAGTTCCTGGATTATTAATGTTCTTTTTGTTATTACATCAAATTGTTTACTTGCGCTTAATACTTACCTGTATGGTAAAACTGATTTTACCGTACCTGATACTTCATTTATTACATAAGTTTCAGTGATAAGCTCTTATTTTATAATCTACATATATTTTGAACTGACATTGATTATAGCAAAAGATTATTTATGCTTGTGACTCCGCCTAAAGATGGAGTCGATACGTTAGTTCGAAACTCGACATCATAACTCGAAGACCAAACTCGATATCTTCACCGCCGTAAAAACCTAAAGTATCAGAAGTTTTGCTTCTTTGTTATGATTCTGAATTGGTCATGTAGTGTAGGAAATGTCAATGTAATTACGAAATATGTGGACAGAAGGAAACATAAATCAATACACTTTTCACATTCCCACGCATTATTATGCCTCTTTTGCAAAGAAAAAAAAATACACGTACATTCAGCGGAAGGGTTGTGTTTGTCTGTTTGTCCACATCTCACAAAGTAACGAAAGAATTTCGCCAAAGTTTAGTGCTGGAAATTCACAGTAACGTTTTAAACTCAGAAACAATTACATTTTACAAATAACTTAGGTGATCATGATCGAGATGACGAGTTGTGGAAATTTAGATGAATGACTGATGCTGTGAGAAATAAGTTTATCACTTTGCCACATAATTCTCGTTTGTCTGTCAATTTTCAAAGCTTACGACTCAAGGACTGAAAGAGGATGAATATTATATTGAAGAGGTATGTTTATTTTTCTACATTACTTGCAGTCTGATGATAAATTTGTATGAACATTACTGGTGGTGAAGCTTGCATAATAGTTGTATGATATGGTACACTTTTATTTCAGTTAGGAACATTCAGAATACAGAATTTTCAAAGAATACGTGCGTATCCCAGAATATATTATACATTTACAGTCGTGTTTTACATGCGAGGAACTTTGTGGATTTTACAGGTCAGATATGGTAAAATGTAGGAAGGGTGAGACAAAGAATACATACAGAATGTTGGTAGGTAAAAGTCGAGGATATGTGTGGATATCATTAAGTTGGATCTCAGGAGTACAGGTGCAAACTATTCAGTAGTGTAGATTCCCAGCAACATTTTGAATCGTGTTCATGTTAAAAAATAAAATAAATTTATATTTGTAGGCTTGTTCATGAGATATGTTCACACAAACCTTAAGCAGACCTTAATGTTTCATGTATTTTTCAAATTGTTTCACTACAACAAATATTGGACCCCGCTAACGGCAGCCCTACTCCAGAAGTTAGCACGACTGCTATATTAACATTACTTATGATGAGGAATTTAAATATAAAATTAAAAATAAATTGAGGCAATGTACTTCAAGTGAGAAATGGTCATGTTTCACGCAAACCTGACAATTGGTTCAAAGTTATTAGGTGGTTACACATGTCTATACAAGGTCATCATAATGCGGTAAGCTTAATTTCTTCAGAAACAAAACGAATTTAATGTAGAAGTTATGGGTATTTATAAATTATAATATTTAAATATTTTTCCAACCTTAGACTACTCTATGAGGACCACTAACTTCTTCCCTGTGATCCATGGCTTAAATGCATTGTGTCACTGATAAGTAAGTGAATTGTTAAGGAGTAGATGAACTACTTGTTCTGAATGATAGCCACTAGTCATTTGAATAAAAATTTCCTTGGATATTATCCATCGTCTAATAAAATATAAAACGTAAAACGACGTTTCGGAGATGGGACTCTGTCTCCGTCTTCAGGTTCCTACACAGTTGGGCCCACTAGATAGAGCTAATCCCTATCTCCGAAATGTCGTTTTACGTTTTATATTTTATATTTTACTAGACGATGGATAATATCCAAGGAAATTTTTATTCAAATGACTCTTCACCATCGTCAAGAAGTTTTATATTTGATATAGATATCCACTAGGATGGAATGGAATTTCTGTCATGATTTCTTTGACAGGGATTTCAGTATGAAAGGGCAGTGTCTCCTGACCCTGAAGGAGTTTTTAATGTGTTACATATAATTGAAATAAACTAAAATTGGATTTAATAAACTGAGAAATTTTCAATTTATCAAAAAGAATGTATCTGCCAAAATATAATTTTCTTCATTCTCTGGACACTGTTTGTCTGTGTTCACGTCTAATAAAATGATACCATAGTTTTCTTAGATCTTGCTGCTTGAGGAAGCTGTCGTTATTATCCCGACCATTACTATTAGAGTACGGCACCGACAAACACATTCCGCTGTTCGGTGTATCAGTTTTAGATGCACTGCGTCTTTTGGGTGTTCGTGACCTTTCTTCTGAGCTGTTCAGTCTTCGGCCGTTGTTTTTCCCACTTACAGAACGACGGAAAGGTACCTATCGTTTGGACGCATTTTATCTCGGTGCATTGTACTTCATCTTGCTAGCAATGGGGCCAACAAAACTGCAAAATAACGTATTTTAAAATGTACTACAAAACTGATCTCGTCACCTTTCAAAATATTTGGATCTTAAGAGGAAAATAAGCATGGTGTTCGAGAAATTTATACACTGAAGATCTTCATAAATTATACTCTTTGCCACATATTAGGGTTACAGTTCAGGAATGGGATATACGAGGAAAAGGATGCATGTGAATGGTGAGAAATGTTTACAAAGGTTTGTTCTTTAAGTACTGATTCTATTGCTACTCCAGGGGAGACGTAAATGGATATTAGAATGAATTCAACAGAGGCAGCATGTGGACTGAATTCGACCAGTGTTAAGCTATCGTGAACACAGATCGAACTTTGAGTTCCACGAAAGGTGGGGAATTTCTTGACAAGATAAGCGATTATCAGCTACTAAAAAATAATCTTGCACCATAGAATAATTTTTATACATATTCATGCATGTACTTACATGTATTTTAAGATTTAGTATTGACCGAAGTATTTATTTTAGTCGAATAAGCAGAATTAGGATCTGTACTAATTACGAATTTTCTATGAAATAATGTAATGCTAATAAGCACAATTATGAAACATGTTTTCATGTTTCTTCAGTTCGTATTGTCATATTAATTCCAAAAATTCCTTTGCTTTCTGTTACACAGAAAAGTTCTTACGCCACAAATTAACATTGGCTTTAATAAATACTTTTAATGTTAAATTTCAAATAGCTTTTAAGGTAGTCTAAAACGTATTGAGACAATAAAAACTCGATTAATGAATATGTCGGCATAACAGACGCTACGTAGAAATCTGTACAGAATAGCATTTGGCTTACATGTATCGGCGATATCTACGACGAGCCGTTTGCTGAGGGCAATATTCAGAGCGGTTGTAACTTGAGATTCAACGTCTCCTGTAGCAAGTAAGTTTTCACGCATGTAACCAACGATATCGTCCACGGAGTAACCTTCCGCACATGCGTGGCCTTGATCGAGCTCTTTGAACACGGCCAGCAATTTAGTAACGGAGCGTTCCGCCATAGCTGCTGCTTGGTTAGTATTTCTGGAAGAACAGTTACATTCGTTGTCGCAACAGGGACAGTTTGAAGATATTATATGTCCCATGGTAGAAAGATAATATAAGATGTTATGCGACACTTCCGCTTTGAAATATGAGAACGATTTCCACGCCTAACGTGATCCAGCAGTACTTACCGAACAATACAGAATCGTAACATCAGTCTTTTGTTTTAAAATATGGCTTCCTAAACTTTTCTGATAATAACTGCAGTCCGCAATTTGGCTATTTTTAATTAACATTTTAAGGTTTTGATGTAATGTGGTGAAACATGGTGGGTATTAAACATGCAAAGGAGACCAGTGAATAAGGGGGAAAAAACAAACAAAGGTTTTAAGATAAAACAGATAAATATGGCAGAGGGATAAATAACTAGAAAGAAACACTTGAGCATCTATTGAAAATCATATTGGTGGGACTAGGATAAAAAGAAGAGTAAAGATAGAGAATAACTGTAAACTTATGACTTATATCACAAGATTCAACAATAAAAACCAATTGATCTAACATATAGAGCAACACTGTTTATCAAGACAGATGAGGGAATACCACCCAAAAAAAGATCACTTCGTAGACCACGGAAAAATCTGTCAGAACACGTTTTGGAGCCAGAATATGTTCAAACATAACCCTTCATCGCTGATTATAAAGACGACGTACAAATGTAGTGCCCATGATATGAACAGGTATTACCATCCTCACATAACTTACTTCAACTTAATGTTGTTTAATTATTTTTATTGCTATTCATGAATTGTACATGTACATTTTAATTTTACAGTAGCAACATACTAACAAACTAGGTTCATATGACAAACATCAACGGACGGATCACATTTTATTTGTAAGATACACCTACAAACAAATATAAAATTACTTTAAATTCTAAATTCTTTGGTTCGATTTGGACGTGATGTACAAAGATGCAAGAGATGTATAATCTTTATTTAATAATGTTTACTAAAAATGATAAAGATGCAGAATAATCTATCTTCCTACATATTAATAGAATGTGAAGTAAATAAAAAATACATTGAGACTAGAAAACCAATATTCTGGGATAAAACAAAAACCCAGTCATATCAGAGAACACCAATTACACTATATTTCACTTTTCAGGCCCATATTCCATAAACTAGTATGGTCGTTCACATCGCAAGTGAAGACAACGTGGTTCATGTTTCCATATCAGTTTTCTTATTTTTAAGCAAATTATAAGAGCACTTTTAGTGACATTTGTACCCTCGCACAGGAACAAAGTGGCAGGACGATTGAGCACGTTACACAAAAATACAGTCTGCAAAGAGCGCAGTTAACCATCTGTGTACTACTTCAAAAGGCCTAGAGACCACACTTAAACAGCCAGACGTATATGATGCCCCGCATATGCTCTCGGACCCTTCACGTGGCTGCGAATAAAGCTCCTCACTAGAATACAGTGATCAGAGGCTAATCCTCAATTTGCAGCTAACTTTCAATACGCAACCTAAGACATAAAATCATTTAGAGATGGCAAGACGAGTTTCTTTCTTTGATCATCTCAAAACACAAAATAAATTCCAGACTAAAAGGGAATACACACAAGAAACTGATAAACACTTTAATAGAGTAGCTACGAGCCACACAGTCAACAGCCTTGAAAATGAAGACAGAGATGGTCCTCGAAACGTCGGCGATTAATCACCATCTAACGCGGCTGATAGCCCGAGAAGACTTTATTAACGAAAGCCGCCGTGAAAGCTTCACATCTGATAAAGACTTCCTAACAAAGAAACAAATACTGGATTATGATATACATTTAACAAGAAAGATGACGTCTTTGATTTTGGAAGAATGAGACTTGAGACACTTGGATAAAAATCCTTACATTGTGTGTGTGTGTGTGTAAGTTATAATAAAATCCTCTCGGGCTGTCAGCCGCGTCAAGCGGTTAAAACATGAAAAGACCAACGTTTTAAGGTCCATCTCTGTCCTCGTCCTCAGGGCACCGAAGTGGTTGGGGCTCTCCACCGTATCATATATATACCTGCTCCAGTCCCCACGAGCTCGCCTCGTTATGCTCAGCTTACCGGTTAGACAACATATTCCACACTGGAAACCAGGCCACGCTCAGCATAAAACCTCCGTCTCTGTTGATATTTGCAGTATTCAATCAGATTTCAATTGCCTCTTTCACGATGCGGTTCACGTGGCTCGTTGCCTTATCCGATACTGAAGTACTGCTAAAGTCGATACGGTGCCCCGTGTTGAAGTTGCGTTCTGCTACCGCCGACTTATCCAGCCGTTTGAAAGTATTGGATAAGGCAACAGAGGATTTTATTGCAGATAGTCACCGTGAAAGCTCGAGATCATGCATTATGTAAGTTATGTTGTGACATAAAGAAACAAATATTTTGCTTGACAATGAGTCAGGTTTCTGATTACCTAAGATCATCGTTAATTAACTACATGAAAGCATGAGCTTACTAGATTATGCTGCTACATATAAAAGCGATCTATCTACATTTTAAATACTGTTCAGCCGCACTGTACCCGTCACTAACAAACATCGCTGGGAAACTATAACAGAATTAACAATAATCTGTGTACTTCAAACATGTATCGTGCATTCTATAGAAGTGTGGTCAGTGTTATAATATACTCATATATTGCATAAACTTTTCAAGCTCTCTGTTGACTTCGTCTGACGTCTGGCTGTAGAATTCTTGTCTTAACCGGTGAATTTCAACTTGCCCAGGACCAGTTGCAAGAGCCTGCAAATGTTAATATTCTCATACTTTATCCACACGGATCACAAACACAATATTCAAACTTCTATTAAACACATATTTCAATTGACTGTCTACAGTACTTCAACTTTTATTTAAATAATTTTGTAAAATTGAAAGTCATAAGTCTATCCCAAAATTCTAATGCGAGCGATTAAATATAAGGCTGTTTCGGAGTCAGACAATAAAGAATATAAATTTTGGTAAACATCTACCAGACTACACAGCGCAACAACCCAGAAGACAGAAATCTTCATACTCATCGCCCTGATGACGGAGGCATTACGACCTCTGAAACGTTGGTAAACATTTACCAGACTACACGGCGCAACAACCCAGAATACTCACCGCTGTGAAAACCTCAAATCTTAAATATAAATTCCAGTTTCTACTCACCAGGTGGGGACTAGTCTTCGCAACACCTATTTCCGCCGACAACTGAATAGCCGTCACAGTTCCAAGTGACAATGTGTGCACTGGACGAATGTCACTTTTACTGAAGTCCCAAATGTGAATCCTACAAAAAAGAATTAATAAATAAAAATTTTCAGACACAACCCCACGACTTATTCTGAAAAATCATAGTTTCAGATATGACATTTCAACGATTAAAGTGCGTTCATTTCATCTTACCTTGAGGAGGAGTCTAAAACAAAGAAGATTAAGGGCTTAGATCGAGACCACTGAAGAGAAACAACAGATGGCCCTTCGCTAATAGGATCACCTGTTCCTGCCATTGTTGCAAGGGGTTTCTCTGAAGTCTGGGAATGAAGCCTTACTGTCCCATCTCCACAGCCAATCTGCCATGAAAATTCATTGTTATAACGGTATAAAGTGGCGGTTAATAACCCTCCAGGGGACCGCAACTGTTTAGGAAATTAAATAATTTTTTCTAGCAGATTAATAAAGTACTTTTACATAAAAAATCTGAAATTGAAGATTTTAAAACGCCCTGTAAAAGTGAAGTAATTTGAAATTGGAGGTTAAAAATCAAGCTGGTACCCTTTGCTTGATTCGTGGGAGCAACGCAAGTACCACATGTTTGTGATGAGAGTGACTAAGAGGCTTCAAAACTTCCGGACAGTTCAAGACTTTTCAGGATGTATTAGAACTCTGGCGAAGAGAAAGACAATGATCGGAATACCAAATTCAGTGAACTGGGACCTTCAAAATGGCAAAAGACCAGATGATGACCAGTAGAAGTGGACAGGGCAAAATGATTCATGCACAAGAAACTGTAGTCCAAATACCAAAATTTTCTACAGACACTGTATAATCACTTATTGGTGAAAACTAAGAGTAATGCATTGCAATATAGATCATCCATTTTTATGACAATACAGACCACAGTACATATTTTATTCAATTTCAAAGCATTTTACTCACTATAAAGTAAGGTTCTCCAAATGGACAGGGTTCTATGCACTTCACATCTGTAAATTCACCTGGAAAAAATTAATTCAAAATAGTTTTAAAACGTGAAACGAAAGGTTCTCATGGTAAACAAGGTTATTTTTTAACCAGATATGATCAAGTGCAAGAAATAGTTATAATTATGCAAGTAGTATAAGTTTTGAGATACAAAAGAAATTTTCATAATTTATTAATTTTTCTTTCAAACTATAACAAACTGACTGATATATCTTAAAAACTGCATTGACGGAAAATGCATACCAGCAGTTTTATGGTTTAACAGCATAAAATATTTCAAGATCCTAACATTGGTAAATACGTGCACAATTAGTCCGCTTACCAGGAATGTACCACAATCAACATCATCACCATCATGAGAAACCTAAACCTGAAGGGGGTTTACAATGTGAAGCTTTCATGGTGGCTTTCATCAATAAAGTCTTCTCGTGCTATCAGCCGTGTTAGATGGTGATTAATTGCCGACGTTTCGAGGGCCATCTCTGTCCTCATTTTCAAGGCTGTTGACTAGTTCGCGCTACGAGGCACACAGTCAACAGCCTTGAAAATGAGGACAGAGATGGCCCTCGAAACGTCGGCGATTAAACACCATCTAACACAGCTGATAGCCCGAGAAGACTTTATTAACTCAAGGGGGTTATTATCTAGTTACTTGCAGCCCTAAAGAAGTTTATGGAGAAGTTGGTCCGATGTGAACTTACTCACCCCAGTTTGGCACATAAAACTGTGGTCTAGGCTTGCCACCATTTTTCAAACTATGCACCACATATCCTGTATTAGTCCCAATATAAAGGTGATCATGATCACGGCCATCAAGTTGCAAGTCAAAACACATCAGATTAAAGCATAAGTGATGGTCTCTGAAAGAAGAGAAGCAACAACATATAAAAATTCATATAACAATTATCTTCAGACGCTAACTTGAAAAGAATGCCCATTATTAAGGTTGTGGATATTACATGTCATATATCAGTTAAATAATCGTACGACATTTAATGATACAAGAAACCACGCAACCAAAAATACGTAGTTTTATAAGTACAATTATTATTACTCAAGTGGGAAGTTAGTGTGATGTTTGGCGCTGCATTTCATCAGCCAGTTTTTCAAATTTGGGAGTGTAGGATGATGTAGCTGCTCGCAAACAATCGTCAAGATGGGCATCAGTAAGTAGAGATCTGTACTTTGATTTTATAATGTTCGTGGTTGAATGGCCTTCATTATTCAGTATAACTTCTTTCCATAACAACATGGTCACCCAAAAATAGCCTTGGCGGGCCACTGATTTGGACAGTAATCCTGTAGTATGGGAATTTATATTGCCTATTCCAGTTAGATAAAGGTGATAAAGTGTTTTTCTCTTAGCAACAAAATAATGTGTAAATTTAATTTTCAGCATACATCAACCCAGAACTATGATAAAGGTACACAAATAATGTATACAATTTTTCTAATTTATTTTTAAATTTACTATTGAATCTTTAAATCCTCTTCCAACATATTAAGCAAATTTTCACTATTGTAAACAGTGACAGCTATGAGCTACTGAAGCTTGTTGACCGAGTACCACCACTTCAACCTTTATTGATTGTGCGTCATGTCTAATGTGCAGTCAAGCTGGCTGTGCGTCACAGTAGTGGCTAGTAGCCCAAGTATAAGGGCTTAAATCCTCTATCTCATACAACAAAGGTTAAAGTAGGTTTTAAATGTATCAGAAAAAATAAATAAAGGAAACCAGGTACTCACAATGAGATGGTGTCCATAAGTGAAAAGGCAGAACTACACACCAAGCGAACTCGGCCCCAGTGAGCCAGTCCAAGATCTTGGTGTAGTATTCCTTTCTGATGATCTTGCTTATAACTTTGAATCACCGTCCATATGATGATTTTACCTCCCTCATCCAAACTACAAATCTAAAAGCCATAATGTATAATGTTAATTTAACATGGAAATACTGTTTATTGATAATTTAGTTCAGTGCTGGTTACCAAACACTGTATTTTAATTTTTTTTAGTGATTTTTTGACTTTTGTGAACTGAACCCTTTACTGCAAGAAGAATCATCATTTCAAGTCACCTAACATTTGTAATTATCTTCCATCTCATTTGACACTGTCTGCAGTTGAAAAATTATCATTAAATGACCTAACAATCATTGATGAGATCCGAGGTTCTCACAGTGACAGGTATGAAGATGGCTTTGGATGTAGCACTGTGTAATTTGGTAGATACTGACCAACACTTCAGAGAAGCATAATGCCTCCATCACTCTGATGATGGAGGCAGTAAGCTCCTCTGAGACCATAAGTCAGTATCTACCAGACTATAAGATGTTACATCTTCAATCTAATAATCATTTGATTAAACAACCATATTTGAATATTTACGAATAGTTCTCAACAATTATGTAGCCTGAACATAACTTACACAACCAATAAATGAAATTGATACCAAGAGAGAAGAAAATAAAGGTGTTTCCTTCCTTTACTAGTATGACATAGTTTTCACTATTAAAACTGTATATAATACAGCAATCAAATCAAAACCACATATCATTTAACTGGCTATTTTGTGATGGAAATGCATTTTGCTAATTCAGTCACCATCACCTTCCACACACTACGTTAAATGGTCTATTATGGTTTCATTCCAGCATTTGTGTAGACTTCTTACAGATCTTACTCTACTCAAATGAAGTTAAAAATCACAGTTTTTAGCTCTTGAATAACTTTTGTTCATTTATTCAGTCATTCAGTTATAAAACATTCTTTCATTGTTTCACTGATACACTCATAAGTAAATCTGATTAGAAGATTTATGTCTTCTGGGTTGTTGCGCTGTGTAGTCTGGTCAATGTTAACCAACGTTTCAGAGGTCATACTGCCTCCATCATCAGGGCGATGAATATGCCAACTGGGTTTACAGCTCCTATAAAACCTCAAATCTTACAAATCTGATTAGCTTCTTGTTCAGTGATCTTGTTTGTTTATATTAATTGGTGATGATAGGTAATTTGTATTGGTTTCGTATTTATACTTTTCATGATAGTGTTTAAAATGCAGTCCTTCCTCTAAAACCAACCAATCACTGACCAAGTAACTGTTTCACTGACCTACTGACCAAAAACCACTAAAACTTCAGTCCAATAATATAAGACTTCTTTTCCTTACACTGTACTTAATGTCAAAAGGGATGTTGTGACAAAGGAAATAACAAATTACTGTGATATAGCAAGGCTGTGGAATGCGAAGGATTTATATTCCTGTTCACAGAAGGCGGCCAAACTTATTATTTTCCCCTCTTCTTTAATGTCATGTGACTACCTGAGAGTTACAAAACTGTTTTATCTCTCTTGTCTGATGACTCTGTCCCAGAGTTTGCAATCCGCTGTGTGTCCTAACATAAACAAATTCATGAAACAAAGAAGTTATTAAATGTATGCAGAGTGTAATTACTCCAGTGCATTTACCAGAACTGAGCTTTTAATCTTTGTAATGGCTATGGAATTGCCCAGCTGAAGAAACTAATTACCAGACATAATCTAAGTAATTCCCACTACATTTCATATCAGTAAAGCTCAGTCTGGAACAGATATTCCTCAAATTCGATGAGTAGTTCACAAGCCACCATTAATGTATGCTAACTTTACCTGAGTTGGTGAAACTTCAGTTTTTTCATGTATATCAGATTCCACTTCAGTTCCAACCAATGGCTGTAACGCAACAACCTTGGAAAGATGTCCTTTATCTTTCAAAATCGCAGCTAAAAATAAGACCTTAGTATTAGGTAAATCCTTCACATAACAGTTAAAAGCTGATAATACAGAATTTCAGCAAAGTCACTGACGTTACTTAATTGTCATTTTACCTGCATGTAAGAAAACGTGGTATCCATTATATGGTCTGAAGATTTTCTCTCATCCAGTGTTACCAATATCTCTTAGTAAAATATTCATATGGTGTTATAGAAAACACATACATTGGATTGTGATCAGAAACCATATAATTATGGAAATGTACTTTGTTTACCTGTGTTGTAGGTTGGTGATCGCAACACCCATTCCCCATGTTCAGTTTCAACCTTCTTGTGATAATGCGATTTCTCTCTCAAGTCCCATACACATAGTGATCCATCTTCCTGTCCCGCAAACACTACGTTGGCTGTAGTTGCATTAAAACAACTAGCGGTGATTTCATGAGCAGCCACAAGAATCTTCTGTGGTAAGGATGGTTCAAGAATACTCCATATGGCTATCATGCTTCGACACGGTGAAAAATGTTCTGTCTGCCTATCCTCCTGCAAAATAATATATTAAGTAGAATCAATACCACATTTATAGACATGTTTTCTACACTGTCGAACAATTTTTTGGGCATACTGGCTGATTTTCATGAAAATAGGCAGGAGAACCATGTCTTTGGTTAACTTCCACTATATCATAAATTGCTACCTACATAAAATATATAGTACTGTTTGAATTTTTTCATGATGGCTAAAATAGTTCAGCCACAAACAACATTTATCTAAAAAATTATATTTATATTCTGTTTATAGATCACAATTTTAAACATCAGTAATTTATTGATATCTTAAAGCAACATACAAATGCTGGAAAATATATAATTTTAATTTTAAATGATTAAATGATTTGGATAATCAATGCTACACTTTAGTGTGATAAATGGAATATAAGCCTGAACATTTCCATTCTTTATGATACTTACAAATATTACGTTTTTATGGACAGTAAGTAACAGGTTGGAACGATGACGTGGAAAGCGAATAATTGTAACAGGTCTGTCAGCTAAAAATGGAACAGATGCCAAACCAAGAGAGATATAACCATCACTAAATGGAATATCCTTCATATTTCTATCGAACTTGTTAGCATTCACCGTTTCTCCTTCTTCCAGTAACACTGAAACAACCTGAAAAATTAACACAACATACAAAAGCTCACCATTAGATTCTGTCCTTAGCCAGTTCAGTAATATTTATATTTTCTCAACATATTTCTTATGATCCTGTTTTATGTTTACTAACTACATCATTAAACTATATACTTCTTAAAGTGAAAACGTGTATCAAATGTTGTAACGAGATATATGCAAAACATTTTTCAAATACAGAGTGGCACAATTGTAGAGCTACGGTTTTCAGTGGCATTATGAGTAGTAGATGGAAATGAGTGTGATCAGCTACATTCTCCACTTTAAAGGAATTATGCATACTACAAGAGCTGATTTTAATTACATGAAGTAGCACTACTCTAAAGAACAAACCAGAATACACATTACACTGTCTTCATGATTAGTCAAAAATGTTCTTAACCATAAAACCAATAGAATAGCTGTTATATGTAGCGATGTTTTAGGAAGTAAATTCTACATACTTGTCCAGCAGATGAAAGAAACTGGCTCAATCTCAATGTATCAATATTTAGTCTCTCTTTCCAAGAATCAGTATCATCTTCCACTGAATCTCCACCAACTCCAAGATGATCCTAGAATAATCAAAATCAGGGATGCAGACTTAATAACAGACGTGGCATGCAGTTTCAGACCAAATGAAATTGACGCCAATCATGAAGTGAGACCATCTCATTTTACTTAATGACCTTGGTCTCCTCATACATGGGAGGTTTCTTAATCTATCTGGACATTGGTAGGACTCCTTGGACAAGTGATCAGCCCACTGCAAAGACTTTACCTATACAGGACAGCACAACACAGAATGATGCAAACAAACATATATACCTTGAACGGGATTCAAACCCAGTCCCAGTTTCCAAAAAATCAAAGCGCATGCCCCAGACTGTGTGTCCAATGTGACTGGTTTTGAACACATATAAGATAATTTTAAGAAATAAATAATTACATATCAAAATTTGGGTGCCTTACAGCCTACCATCCATGAATAAATCAGGTTGGTGAAGTGGTCATTTTTACAAATCAGAATAATGTCTTCTTCTTCTATGGCTCTCCAGTCTGTATTCGGTCCATGGCCTCCCTGTCCGAGGCTTTGGTTGAGGTATCGAAACATCTTCCTTTTTATGGTGCAAGGTTGTTAGCCTTGCAACCAACCCCCAACCTGAACGACCAGGGTACCTGTCTTAGTCTGACCTCTCTCCCTCGACCAATCTGGCTAGGGAGGCCCTACCAGTAGCTATGCTACCGCCAGTATAGCTCTTGGGGTCACTGAGGTACTCAAGCCCCACCACGACAAGGTGCAGGTACCATAATGTATATGAATAATGCACAGTACTAATTTCTGTATCTAAATTTAACACAAAAATTTTTATGAACCAAATTTATTATATATATATATATTACCTGTGAAAATATAGTAACTTCATCCACTGAGCTCTTGACATTTTTGGTCTGAAAAGAGACTGGCTTCTGAGTCCACTTGTTCTTATAGCGTATTTCATCAGTTTGAACTTCCTCAGAGAGATTGTCTTCGTTAGTCTGCACATGAGCCTGAAGCAGAGAGATGTTAGTCAAAAAACACAGGACTGGAAGGTCTGGTGAAATGAATGTCAACAGAAATATGAGTCAAGTGTGGAAAACTTCCTAAATACAATTCTGTCCACCAGAAATCCTTCTATTGAATATTTCACGAGTCTGTGCTGTAAAACGTGGTGCTTTTGATTGTTTGCTTATTTAACAATGCTGTATTAAATGTCTAGGAAAAGAACATTAAATTGTAAGACAAATTAGAAAGGATGCAAAAGGAAGTGGCCGTGGTCTGTTTTAAGTCTACCTAGTATTTACCAAGAAGGATTGAGGAAAATATAAAACCTGTCAATATAGTGGATATCCTTCTTGAGGTATGAACTAGGGACCTGCCAAATACGAAGCACCACTCGACCATGGTGTTTGGTTAGAAGGATTTACACTAAACTTTTAGGACTTAACTGGTGTTTTATATTTTTTGTTGTATATTAACTGGATCAAAAATGTTTACAGTAACCTCTAAAATACTTAAATTAAAAATGTTTCCTAAAATTAAATGCATAGGAATATATAATGTGATGATTACCTGCAGAGTGTTTGAGCAACCATAGCTCTTCATATAAACTTCGTATGGAACGGGAGAAAGTTCAAATAAAGTGAAACTGACTGTATCCAGTTGAATCATGTCCAGAAGTTTCTCTCCTCTCTTTTTAGTAGTTGCATTTGCCTATTAAAAAAATACACTGTATGAAGTAAAAACAAAAATAAAGGGAGAAATCTTACCATATTATAAAGTAATATATATAAATTTGGATTCTATAACGTACCATTTTTTCTTGTTTTCTTTTCCTTGCATTGGCAAAATTGATGAAATTTAAGGGTGTAACTGTTGTGGAGAAATGTTTTTGATCATCTGCTTTTCCTTCTACATAACCCTCATCAGTTGGCAGAAGACGAGCATCTACCACGTGGGATTTCATCCTCCTGATCAAACACAAGCATGTGTTGATAAAATATGCCTGTAGAAGGCACTTACATAACTTTATGCAGCAAGCTTCCAGCAAATTAATAATAATCCGTGGCGTAACAGCTCCAGAGAGCCAAAGCCGACTAGCTGACTGCTGGCCTCACATTCACATGCCTAAGCAGAGGTGAACGATCATTCAACCAGATATAGGGTGACGTGTGGTCAGCGCGACAAACCCCCAGCCATTGCTAGTTTTCATGACCGGATTACGCTATTCATTGTAGCTCCCCAATTTCCTCACGATACTGGGTTGGCACAGGTCCCATACACTGGTCGAAAAATCTCATGAGAAATTTCTTTCCGAGACTCGAACCATTCTGTATCACCGGTCCGAAGCATCATGCCTCAGACCGCGCGGGACTCCAGGAAATTAAAACATGAACAATTTTCAAGCTGTTATCCTTGAAAGGCATTCTAATTTCAAAAACTAATGTTCATACAGAAATATGCATCAATATTCCAGAGAGTCAGAATTCTGAAGGATGGGGAAATATTTAAACACTAGAAAGCTGACATGTGATGATTTGATTTGAGTAAAAATGTTGATCATGGTGTTCTGGGCTGTGATGCCATGTGGTCTTATAGATGGTTACCAGTGTTTTACTGTCTCCACTTTCTGGGAAGTGGAAAGTTCCTCTGAAATGTTGGTAAACAATTACAAGACCACATGGTGATGCCAAAATGCAGAGTCCAACAATCAACATTTTAAATTCTTTTGACACTGTAGTCAGGACATGTAACCTCCAAATATTCATTCTTGTTTGTTTGTGGCTTTAGAAAATAAGTAAATAAATTAATAAGTTCATATACATAGGAAATACATATCCTGTCTGACCAAGGACACAAATTATACAGAAGAAAGACTGTTAGAGTACAGGCATACCTCGTTTTATTGCACTTCGCAGATATTGCGTTTTTTTACAAATTGAAGGTTTGTGGCAACCCTGCACCGAGCAAGTCTATCGGCGCCATTTTTCCAACAGCATGTGCTCATTTCGTGTCTCTGTATCACATTTTGGTAATTCTCGCATTATTTTTTTAGACATGATGTTATTGCACACTTAATAGACTACAGGATAGTGTAAATATAACTTTTATATGCACTGGGAAACCAAAAAATTTGTGTGACTCGCTTCATTGCGGCAGGCTGGAACCGAACCCGCAATATCTCCGAGGTATGTCTGTACAGTGAACAGAATGTATGAAAAGTAGCATACAGAAAAACCAAGAAACAACATAAGACACTGGGCTGCTACACTAGAGCCCGATCATGATACTGAAAGTATTCATATAGGGTAAACCTCATACGATGCCTAACTTACTCTTGAGCAGACAATGTTTCATTCTCTCTGCCCAATGCCATCTTGATTTCTTGCATTTCTCTGCCTTTCCGCCTCTGTTCAGCCAAGTCATAGTTGCCAGAGTCTAATTTCTTCTCTTCTTCCCCAAATGGATGCTGTCTGGGTGTGAGTTCTACAAGCTCTGACTCACTATCACCATTACTGCTACTGTCATAATTTCCAATGTCAGCTCCTTCATCAGACACGTCAGAATCGGCACTGTCTTCAAAATCTGATTCATAATCCTGAAAAAAAAAACTGTGATTTATTTTCACTTCATCTGTAAAATAATTTAAAGATCACCTTACAAACACAGTATGTATGGAGTGGTAACCAATATAACTTAAAAATATTAAAAACATATTTGTTGTCATAACAAAAGAATATATAGATGGAAATTACTGAAGTTTTGTACGGCCGACATGCCACGTCAAATTTAATGAAAAACGTAGTTGTTCATTTAATATCCTTGTGTAATTCTGATGCATGGTAATGTCAAAGCCGCAAGGTGGAGATTCGGGGCCAGCGCAAGCCAAACCCAACAAGAACAAAATCTATCTTAAGCTTAATATGCAAGATGATGCGTGTATGAATATAAAAAATACTGGATAACTGTCTGTAATCAGCTCAACACGTAGTTTCTTTTCTAATTCCATTACAGCAATCTTGTATCAATTAAGTATGAATTTTAGAAGTTACAGCTTTTCTCATCAACCTTGTCCTACAGTGAAAAGAACACAACAAAACTGTACATGTACAGCTGTCTTAAAAGCAAACTTTTAGTGCCATTGAACATATCTGTTTCACATTTTTTGTTCCTTTGTAATTCATTGTCATTTTAGTTGCTGTTTTTCTAGAGTTTTTGTAATGTCTACTATTTATAGTTAAATGTGCATGTAATGTGACTTTTCCATTAGCACCAAATTTCACTTATCCCATATTATTCATCCAGTCATAAGTGTAGATATTAATTTCCCATTTTTAATATTCTACGCTGCAAAAATCTGTTTTCAAAGTCCTTTCAAAATGTTCATAAGATAAGAACTAAACTTTCCCCCACTTTGTACACCCCTGTAAGCTTCGAAATATTGGTTCTGGTTTAATATTACTTTAGAAATGACTGTGGTACCTCAAAATCATCTTCATATTCACAGCCTCCATCATCATCTTGTGGTTCCCTATGTTTGTCGCTGCTCGCCTGAACAAGGGACTGAGAACCAGATGCTTCCGTGGCTGCAGCAGAGATGGCTGCGACGTTCTCAGCCAAGTACTTCTGGTCTTCTCTCAGCTTCTCACTCTCCACTGTCCCTCCCTCAGTGTAACTTTTTGCCACCTTCACCTCTTGTGGACTCAAAGTCCTAGTCCGTGTGCGATCTCGACCCAATCTGTTTGGTTCGTTGACCCTTTCTGTCTGCCGACCCTGATTTCTGTTTTGTTCTCTCCCTTCTGGGTGTTTCATTTTGTTAGGTAATTTTTCTGTTTTTGCTACATCTTTCTGTGTGTTTACTTGATGTCTACTAATTGATCTCCTTGTTTGTGCACCTAAAGGGGTGACTGTGTTCTTTTTCAAATTTCCTTTAGAGGTACTGTTTATTTTTGGTTTCTCTGTAGCTACAAATGACAAGTGACAGAATGATTACATGATAATTTAAATACATAAGCTTTTTGTAAGCATGCAAAATATGTATCTCACCAACCAACATAAACCTATATACAGTTAACCTCAACTAAAAATTAGCCAACTGATATATTGTACAATGGAGTAGCCCAGAACAGTGCATTATTTGAGTGTCTGCTCTTATTTTATGAATTTATTAAAATTTATAAGCAATAAAACAAATTTCAGTATTTTATAATCCAATATATAAAATAATTTAATTAATTAATGTAAAATATGTGATGAAACTAATAACAATGAAAAATTAACTTCTAAGAAACTTGTATAACATTTACTATTTCTATCAGCTAAGGGTTATAAAAGCAATTAGACTCTGAATTAAACAGAACTAAAAACACTTGGCAAAATTATCACTTACATTCTCCATTAATTTATTTCACAGTTTCATATCCTACTGTTCACAGTAGCAGTACCATTTTACTGTATCTTAATTTGACCAAAAACATGCCCTTTAAACTAGACTCAGAATTATTATAAATTCCTATGCCTACAGAATACTGTACACATTATAAAAGTCCAAGAATTTACTGTGATTGTAATACATTATTTTGTTGATGGATTTCTAGGTAGATACAAATGTTTTGGAGAAACTTATTGTCAGCCCTGAAGACGGTAACAGTGTTTTTCTCTGAAATGTTGGTATCTTCCTTCAAGTCCACATGGTGTTACTACCCAAAAGATCAACATCAACATCTACACCACCATAAGAACCTCAAATCTCAGTACACTAATCTATCTATTTTGATTTTCTACTTACTGCGGGAAGTACGGTACAACATCTGAGTACTATGAGGTGCTGCATCTCCAGTTGTTAGATTCCTTACTGGGGTCTGACTTTTTACTGACCCAGGTTTTATGTTTTTGCTATTTGTTTCCTTGGTAACATGGCTGCTGGGCTGAGATTCCCTTGGTCTGACTCTATCCTGCTTCACATCTTTAACTGATCCCTTTGTTTTCTCTGATTCACTTTTTAATATTGCTAATTTTTCTCTGACTGAAGATCTTGCCTTGAGGTCTTCTTTTTGGGACCTTTCTTTTGTTGTACGAGAGGCTGATAAATCTCTCGTCTTCTTTGGTTCTTTATCCCTGCCAGATTCATATTTAGAATGTGGTTCTTTGAAGTCTTGTTTAGCCTTTTTCTTTTGGGGTGTACTGTTAGGTTCCTTTGTACCATATGGAGACTTCTTTACTGCACCCTATAATTTAGAAAAAAATAACATACAAAAAATTCAACCAGAAAATAATTAATAATGTACAGACTTAAGGCAACTCCCAAAAAGCTACAAAGATCAGAGATAAACTCTGACTGAACACTGTAATGTTGGAATTTAGGCCATTTAATGTGATTGCAATTAAATTATACACATATTAAATGAAATTTACGGAAGAACGAAAATTCAGGAAATATAATTTACCCCACAAAAATGTTGCGTTTCTAACTGTATGGATAGGCCCATTTTTTCCTTTATTAAAATGTTGACAATTTTACAATTGGAAATTTGCCGCTCACAGTAGCCGCGAAGTCTAAACTGCCCAGTGTTGGGCCACTTGTACACTGTGATAGCGGGTTCGAACCTCGATTATGATATTTCCGCACTATTATGTTCTGTTGTCGTGTGTAAGAGTGCTTGTATGGAATGACCCTTCGTCCAAATACAAAAGGATTCATAATTTCAGTATTAATTCTAAAGCGGAATATGTTGAATAAAACTCTATCATCATAAACGAGAAAATAAAGTGTTCAAACATATATATGTACCTACTTACTCTGTCAGGCGGCATGATTAACAGCTCATCTAAAATCAAATGTAGCTGACAAATACTCAAGAAAAGAAGCAATATTTCGAATACGTCATTTTGAAACACTATTTACACACAAAACTATTTGTAAACAAAATACTGTCGTGCAGCAATTTAACTTTACGGACTACCAACAGAATGCACTCCTTTTGCAAACACGACTGGAAATTGAAGTCGGTTTCTTGTGTTTTCTAATTTTGCTCATAGAATGCACTGGCTATAACTTTCTCTGAACAAAGCCGAAACAAGGTGTATTATAATATGGTTTCTAATCTGTCTGGAGCCAAACAATATCGTAAACCAATATGAACTCTCAAAATACCTCTGTCACGCACTCAAATTGTCTCTCAAACGCCGCTAACATACAAATCAGGCTCCTAAAATGCATACGGTTTTTGTTCGTTGGAAGTAACTACACAGTACATTTCAGTACTATTTTTTTCTATTTCCGCGTTCGTAAACTTTCATCTTTAAAATTTGTGTCATTTTGTTTTCTTCCATTACGAACTATAAGTCAGTCATCATTATCAGCTGGATTTAACAGTGGCCTTCCATAACACCAGTTTTCCAATACTTTCATGTTGCATTGTTTGGCTTGATGTTTGAATAGGTTGCCTATTGTACCTTTGACACTGTTTGTTGCAAGCACATTGACTCAGCAGTGATGTAGAATATCGTCACATTATTAATGATCACCATATTAATGATAACTTTTTTTCCTCCGTCATACTGCCTTGGATCGATGATATTTTAAAATGTTTTTGTAGAATATTATCAAAATCTGTATACTCTTTGTCTTTTGTTTGTTTTCTTTACGTCTTTATCGACATTTTCTGTGTCGTTGTTTCTCTCTCCATAGAGGCGGGCCACTCCTGCAACCATTGAGCAGAGGCCTGTCTGCTTCGAACGCTTCGTTAATTATGTAGCGTGACCTTTTTCTATGGCGGCGTATGACGTCATGGATGTGTAATAGTAACTCGGTGCCACACGGTGTATCTCTTCGTCTCTCTCTTTGCGGAAGGACATGTCCTTATATTTACAAATCAGTAGTAATAGACTACTTGGGAGGTTTGTTTATATCAGGTTTTTTCCCACTGAAGGCAGAAGCATGGGCTCCGAATACGTGGGTTTTCTGCTTCCGAATTTTTATAGACATTGTGGCCAGTTTTGTTGAATGTTGTCAGTTTTGTTTTGTCAAAGGATATTATTATAAATTAGGAGCGGCGGAAGGGAGTGAACATTCTGGAGTTCCACTCGCTACTTTCCTTGTGTGTTTGGTGCGGACTTTTTTTGCCGGTCGGCTGCAATTTGAATATTTTGAGGTTACCTGCCGGTAGAATTTGTAACGCAAACCTGAGTGCAACCTGAAACTTTCAAAAGTTGGTACTTGTGGTGACAACAATTTCTAAATCATAGCCACGTATTGAATTAACCTGTATGCCTATAGTGGTTATGTATCGAGCCCAAAAGAAATACATGAATACTAACATTGACGATCCCATATTTAGTGAATATTAACATGAATCGTGGCAAAAATATCTTACTAAAAAGATTTTGTTTTCGGACACACTATTGTTGGAAAGTTTATGTTCGTGTTTACAAAGAGACTGGTAAATGAGGACCGCCTGACTGGCGCCACTGTTAAAACACGGGAACATCGCGAACACACGGTCCTCTAACTATTTCAGCGGTGCATAATAGACAGGAGGTCTCTTCGACTCCTGTCTCGTTCTGTTATAACCTCCACTTAACCTAAACTGTGTCAGTCTGTAATTCCGTATAAATGATACACATTTCTTACAGAGCCTCACTTGACGTCACACAATAGCAGCGTGTTGGTTGCTTAGCAGAATATTCGAGTAAGATGATTAAATAATGCTCTAAAAGAGCATTATCGACTAGGAGTTGTTTTCAGCTTACATAAGCAATCAGGTTTTTTTCATTTAGACTGAAGGATATGGATAGAGCCCCCCTGATGATAGAGGCAGCAAGGACCTCTGAAAGTATACCAGGCCACACACCACTCAGCTCTATGAGAACCACAAATCCTACTAAAGGTAGAGGGTGTTTGAGAACAGGGTGTTGGGGAGAATATTTTAACCTAAGAGACAGGAATCCATCTTTAATGTGACAGCTTTAATCCACCTATACGACATTTTTATAACATTTAATTTTTCAAAAGATTCACGAGTAAATTATTTAATGAGTCATAAATCTTCTATAGGACTTAAGTGGAGTTCAGTGAGATATGGGAATGATTATGAAGAAGAACTAGAAATTTATAATATGTCGTGGCCTACTTGAAGGTACAATTCGCCTGGCGAGATTTAGGAAACAAACATCGCCCTTATGACGGAGGCAGTATGACCTCTGAAACGTTGGTTAACATCGACCAGACTACACAGCGCAACAACCCAGAAGACGGAAATCTTCAAACAAAAAGAAAACTGAATTGGAGACCTGGTACATCGACTTTTCATTCTGGCCTTATTTTATCTGTTACGTCTCAAAAGTGAATGTTTGTTTGAGATCGTTTGTTCAGATCCAGATGACACTTTCCTGTACCATAGAAGGTGCCATTTATCGTGACGACCAGAACTATTTCATTTGGTGTCACATTCGCCTAAGGTGCTGAAACTTTCGTTGTCTCCTGGCATCCTAGCAATTTGTTTTATCTTTCCGGCGTTTCCAGCTAAGCGACAGTCATGTAACCTCCTATGTGATGTGTGATGGAAGGAATACGAGATAGTGCAGGTTCCAGATCAATGGGGAATCCCTTAGTTTCTCTCGCGCTTTTACACACTTTACTGTTCGCCTACACCATCGCGTACAACCTTCGTCTGACCTATCTAGCTTGTCAGCCTTGGAACAATTGTTGTGAAATTGTATTTACAAATCTTGACTATCTGTATAATAAGCAATGTTGGTTTGTTATCATTTGTCTTTGTCAAGGGATTTTGGACCTTATGTGATAATATTTATGAATGTTAGTGTTGTTGTTACTATCGAATTTTCCTTCATTCTTAACAGTACAGATTCTAGTTTAGTCACATTATTGTACTTTAATCTTTTATAAACTTGAAGCATAGATTTACATTTCCAAAAGCCATGTACTACGTACATTTTACTTATTAGGATTTGAGATTTTCCCGGCGGTGACTACTATGAAGATTGCTGTCTTTTGGGTTGTCCCGCAGCGTAGACTAGTGAAACTTTACCATCGTTTCTGAGATCCTTCCTGCCTCCATCATCGTCCTGATGATGAAGGCAGCAAGGACACGTTGGTAATCACCACCAGAATACACACCGCTACAGCCTAGAAGACAGCCATCTGCATTTTTATCGTGATACGCTGATCAGTAGCTCGTAATTAAGGTTTCATCCCCGTCGTCTGCTCTCCTTGCCTCTGGTTACAACTGAACTGAAGATTTGGCGGTCGGAGACTTACGCCACTAAAATCAGAGCAATGAACGGGTGGGGTGCAAATATTTGGTGACGGAGACACAAAACGTTACTTTACTCCTGCCCTCCATTTCGCTGTGTTATTAACTCATCTCAGCCTTCGGGAAGATTACAGACTTGACTGAGATTAGTTTCGCTTTTTGAAATGAGGAAGAATTACGTAATTGTCTCAAATTCTCATTCGATATCTTAGTGTCGTTTCGGATAGAGTTTAAAGAAGTGACAAAATCTCAGTCTTAGCTGTTAGTATACTGAATTTTAGCGTAGGTCTGTGTAATATTGGCCATATATAAAATGTTTAACGACCAGTCATATTAATCAAAGTTCTTTTCCTCCAGTTGTGTTCTTAGTAAAATAAGTTGTACTAAGTAATTAAATTATTTATTATGTTTATATTACATGTATATTTTACTTCTTCGTAAGAAGTGCTTAAATCAGGGGCCTACAAAAACCTTTCTTAATAAGTGGTACCAAAGATACGCCCCCGTTGAAATAAAGGGTTACTAAAATCTCCTATATATATGCTGAAAGTACCCGTTCCTTGCGATGAGGATAGAATTTAAATTAGATCTGACAGTGGCAACTCTGGTAGAAGGAAATGCAAACGAGGATGAGTTTCGGCTCCCGTGGCGGAGTCCGCGTTTGGTACGAGTCTGTATTCTGTATTGCTGTTCAGCACGCCAATTTGCTGCTAGTTTACAACATAGGATCTTAGTATGCTGAACATTTCTATTGCCGTAGAATGCGTGGAAGATTTTGACGAGGAATGTCTGCTGATTTACTAAAATCTGGCGTGACGGACCCCGTTCCGCGGGGTGGAAGGGGTATTATCTATTTAATTTCGGTTTTTCTTCGAACTGCCTTTTAACTTTCAGATTTGCTACACGTCGATACTGACGAGTCTGTTACATTCGATAAGTCTTGCAGCACGTAAGGAGTCGGTGTCAGTAAAAGGTAATGCGATTAGGACAAGAGGAAAGGAAAGTCAATAAGCGAATGGGGATAAGAAGCCATTGAGCTTGTAGACCGAATCAGAAACAAAGTTTATTTTATACACACGTATCATTAAAAGTTACATATATTGAAGGTGGAAGAAGTTGTAGCGCCTTTATAGTTGGAATAAAACTCTTAAAAATACACAAATAAAACATTTATGAATTATTGTAATATTTTTTATTCAATAATAATGAATTCTGTTGCTCGTACTTTGATAAATTAAATTTGTGCACAATATTTACAAATTAAAAAAATTGTAATTAAATTAATTTAATTTGTGTTAAATGTATTTTTATTAAAGGTCGGTCCATGCGGCAACCTGACATTGTGGTAGAAATATTTCTGCCTTGTTTGTGTAAGTCTAGAAATGTTTCTTCCTGAAACTTAAAAGGAAATTGAAAAAAAAGAGTAAAATAGTAGACGACAGAGAAACTATTTAGCGCAGGCCTATATCATTCTGCACGAATACAACCAACCATTTTTAAACATTTCTACTTGTTTAATATTCCTTGCATTCTGTTATGCTATAGTTTCTGTTCCCAGCCTTGCTTAGTCACCGTAATGTTTCTTCTTTCATCCGTTCTTCTTACGGGGAGGCGCTTTTTACGGAATTGCTGTTTTTCCTGCCTATAAACTCTCACATAATATATGATACTACTGTTTCTTTTATAAAATACTTAGTTTCGTTCTCTCTTCTTTAGTCTCTCTCTCTCTTGACATTTATACCAGATGGCACCCCCGTCCCCCCACTGAATGTTTGGAAAAGGGGAGTCCGTAGAAGTATTTCATTTAGGAAGCAAAGAACTGGGATATCCTGGTTCATTTTCCCCTAAAGAAAAATAAGTGGAAATAAAGTACAAAATAATTTTGAATCTGTCTGGGCAGAGGATGACCGATTTTTTCTTCAGTCTACAAACAACATTCTTGTCTCCCCTCCTTGTAGTCCACTTAATAATATAACATTAGCCTCTGTCCGTATGACCAGACTTCTTCGAAGTTTATTGATTCTTTGAGCAACTGTAATATTCATATATTTATAGAAATACAAATTGATCTTAATAATATAAGTTTATCTTGTGTTAATTCCTTTAACCACTTAAATGTGTTTTATGAATGTCCTTTAAAAAACATTTTTCGCGAATCTTCCAGGATTTAACTTTTTACGTGTATCACTAGATACAAATTACATAATTTATAATTTTCTATAATTTTAGGATGTCAGCTTAAAGTACCGTTTTAAGGCTAAGGCATTAGAGTATGAAAGATTACTTACAAGAAACATTTTTCAATTGAATTTGCTTTGCTTTCACTTTAATTCTTCTGGCTTTCTGCCTGACTTTTTCTTGTTTTTTTTCGTAACTGTACAATTCCAAAGAAGTTGTGTGTGACAATCTGGGGAGTAGCGTCTAGAGAAGAGAGT